GTGTTTTATGTTGAACATTGACAGATACCGGCAAAGTAGTGCTTTTCCGAAAAACACTGATTCAAACACTGCTCAAGAGTTCTGCAACTTGTTTAAATTATTGTTTATGTTCCTCGCGTCTCTCTCTCCTCGCGTCTCTCTCTCCTCGCGTCTCCGTCTCTCTCTGCTCCTCGCGTCTCCGTCTCTCTGCTCCTCTCTGTCTCTCTCTGCTCCTCGCGTCTCCGTCTCTCTGCTCCTCGCGTCTCCGTCTCTCTCTGCTCCTCGCGTCTCCGTCTCTCTGCTCCTCTCTGTCTCTCTCTGCTCCTCTCTCCTCGCGTCTCTCTCTCCTCGCGTCTCCGTCTCTCTCTGCTCCTCGCGTCTCCGTCTCTCTGCTCCTCTCTGTCTCTCTCTGCTCCTCTCTCCTCGCGTCTCTCTCTCCTCGCGTCTCTCGCACCTGCGCTTCTTAAAGATGTTGTTTGATGCGGAGCAGAGTCAGCAGCTAGATTTGTTGTGAGATTATTAAAAGAAGCTGGTTCTCTTATCTTTACAGTATATAAAGTTTGTGGATGTCATTGCATTGGTGATTAAATGCTATTTTAGTTGAATAATGATTGTAAATCTGACTTTTAAAGTCAGTGCCTCCCCAATCACAAACCTCACCGCACGTCCCTGTGCCAAACTACAACCTGCCCGTTCGGTGCAAACTCTTGACGTCACCGGCACCGACCTACAACACCCGCCTTCCGCGCTCTCTGAGTAGCCGGTCGAAATACGACCGATTGTAATCGCTAACACAGGGACCAGACCCAGACGGTTACATGCAGTGAAATGATGATTGAGCAGAGTGTACGGATGGCTATGGCCAGGCTAGTGCGGTGAGTGATCTGTGCCAGAAATGAGCCATCTAATGCACTGATGTTATGCACTACCTTGATTGGTTCTTGAAGTAGCTCCGTCAAAATTCCTGCATTCTGGATCAGGTTCGAGTCCATAAAGTTTTGTTCAGCCCCAGAATCCAACAGAGCTTTGAGAGTTAATGTCTGTTGGTCGTGTCGAATTGTGGCACGATGATCAGGTGTGGAGCTCTGTAGGTGAGTGTGATGAGGAACCCTACAGGAGGGGGAGGGGGAGCAGCAGGGAGGAATCACAACAAACACTGCAGCTAAATAATAATATATATTTATTTTTCATCTTAACCTTTGAATGAATAACAAAATAAATAAATACAGACAAAAAATAATGAAGCTTTATTATTTAGCTTGTTGCTTTGCACCAAAAAACTTTGTATAATAATAACATACATTTATTAAATATCATAATTTGTAGCGTTATATTAATAATAATATGCAGATTGTGACATTTATTTATTTATTCATGTTTTTATTATTTTGACACTTTTGGTCCTCCATAACACTGTAGTATAATTTGCATGTGGATGATCAAAGGTGGCATTGCAGTCCTGCCCCTTCCTGCCTCTTCACATCGAGTCTGCACATGCACTGGTCTCATCAGCTTTAAATCATTGCTATAGTACAATATGACGCTAATGTGTGATGCATTTCCTCCTCATTGTCAAACATAAAAACAAGGGGGCGTGTTGTTCACCTTCAACAACCCTGGGCTTCCTGTTCCGAGATACAAAGTGTGTGAGTCAGTCTGCTGCTGCTTTGTGCATTCTCTATAGGCTTACCAGGAAACACAAACACAAATCAAAATAAATAAAAAATGATCTCCTGAAGGCTATAATGACCTTTCGAATTTTTCCCTTTATCATTTGTACCTCATAAAGAATTGTATTTGTGATATCTACTCTTCTGAATTTTTCGTAAGCAGCAGCAGCAGCAGCTCCATAAACACCACGTTTCTCAGAAGTGGTTTTGATGTTGTTACATGTAAAACATTGTAAAAAATGCTTATCAATTGCACACACACAGGTGGATCAGTACCTGCAACACTGTGTTATTCTTTAGCGGAACGGGATCAGCTGGTTCAAAACTTACTGTGCTCTTGTGATGTTATAGAACAGTGTGGTTTTCAAGGCTCTGGGGAGCGGAGCCCGTCGCTGCCGCACACTGTCTAATGAGACATCCACATGCACAGGACAAACTCTGCTAATGCAATGACTTCCATGGAGGGACACATGCTCCTCCCAAATATCCTCCGCCTCTTTCCTCTGGTTTTCTTGACATGTATATAGGCTTTGCATCTTTTACACCTATAAAAACAATGCATGATTGGAGTTGATTGACTAAATGATTAGCCACAGGCTCGGCAAAGAGACAATAAACGTGTAGGACAGAACACTATATGAAAGGTTAAGTAACAATGAACCTATAGACAAAAGATGTTTGGAATCTCATATGTTGGAATGTTCAGTCCCTGCAGGGTTTTAGCCTTCTACTTTTCTATCCATCCATGTTTTTCCAATTCCATTCCAACTTCTCCATTAGTACAAATACAACTGATGAAGATTTCATCAGATAATGTAGTAAAAACACGTTTGTCTAATAATACTTTAATAGATGAGAACCACTGACTTTTTTTCTTTGCACAACTTTAACTTTTATTTTTCCAAGGGGAAACAATTCCAGACCACTCAATCTTTCATTCAAAACACCTTTGGTGTATTCCTCACAAAAAAATCTCTACCGTGGTGAGATGAACCACATAGGCCTACCGATGAAACCAGTCATTTTGAAAGCACTTTTCTGCTCACAGCACACAGCCTGGATATTCCGAGACTCTTGGCAGTTTGGAAGTTTGTAACTGAACTGCTGCCGCAGTGAGAGCGCTGGCCCAGGGATGATTAATGTTCTTGATCTTCAAACTCCACTGCAAGAGAAAACCTGTATTCACTGAACTAGTTTCTATGAACATTCTCAGAAGCTTTCTATGTTTTCACAGATATCCTGGGGTGAGATTGAAAGACATCAGAAACATGCAGTTACAGAGTCTCACCTTCTAGTCAATCAGGGGGTGGGGCCACGATTTATCTGAGCTCAACTTCTCAACTGCTTCCTCTTGTATGCTGCGTGATAGTATTACAAACTATTTCAGTTCAATCATTAGTGCTTGAAGATTAAATGGGCTTCATATCACGCTATGTCTACGGTCTGGATACCAATAATTGTAAGTGTATTTGTACCCCAACTGACTTACCTATGTTGATATGACTAAAATATTATATTTGGTGCAAGGCTATACTTGGATTCAGCTTACACTGAATCCAATCCACATACTTTCTTAATGTTGATCAGAAGACTAATATACACATTTATAATTAATACTAAACAACACATTTGCTATTTCAGTGTATTATTGTATAGCCCTAAATCATAACAGTGAAGATCAAAGTTGTGGATTCACCCCTTTGATTTTGAATAACACAGTGTTAAATGAGCAGCTAACTGTAATTACAGTTACATTAAGTAGTTCAAACTGGAGCACCCAGTGGAAACCGATGCAGACACAGTAAACTTTGATTAAATGCCATGGAATTATGGAATCATTGTTCAACAATTACAACCACTTTTTATTGCATTCTTATTACATCATTGGCTAAAATAATAGTGTGCCTACAGCTACAAAACTGGCTTAATATTTCTTAGTATTTAAAGCTGGGCTACTAACTTTCAAATAACAGACAATCGGACTATGATCCAGACTGTTTTGAGCTTTATGATTAGCTACAGTATGATGGAGCTAATTGGCTGACAAAATTACTATATCACCAGCTACATTGGTACCATTAATTGACTTTTTTTGACAGAATAAAAGACAGTATACGAATAAAGAGTGAATTCCAGAGTTCCTGAGCTTCACAACGAGGTACAGCATGTCTATATGTAAATGTATATTGTGTGCATTAAATAGTAATTTAATGCATGCATTATATCTATGTTTACTTTTTTAACTTGCTTCCACAATGAGCCAAAGCAATTTCCAAGTGTGCCCTGTTACTTACAATGGCAATAAAAAATAATTCTTATTCTGATGTTGAGTTGAAGTTTGCCAGATGACACTGTGAACTTTGTGTTTATGACCCCAAAGACGAATAGAGGGCCACATACAATGACACAGTGGGCCGCAATCGGTCCGCGGGCCTTGGTTTTGACATGCCTGGCCTATAGTCACATAGTATTCTGTCATACCGGTGCGGTGCGTGGGGTGAAGCAGCGACCCAAGACAGATTCCTCAGCAGAGTTTCAGCGGGGAAAGGGGCGTTCCCTCACAAGTGTCAAACTGTGCTCTGAGTAAATCTCTACATTACGCATGGTAAATACGGAACCATAACCGGGGGCCTTTCAAAGTAAACACACCAGGCTCGACGTGAGAAGACAGGTCGTTTTGTGTAGAGTGCACACGTCACTCAAATTACACTTGGGAGCCATGGGAGTAAAGCAAGACAAAAAATAATACCGTTTAATATCACACTCTTTCTCAAGCTCAAAACACCATGCTAGTTACATAACAAACGACGAAAGTGCAAACCGGAAGCGCACGTGTCTTACTGCTAGCTTGATGCTATCAGCTCGCACCCGCCCTGCCCTCACTGTATCTGCCAGGGAGTTGCACCAGGCTCTGTACGTCTCTATTATATAACTTTAATGGACTCACGAGTTTAACGCCGCGGGAGCAGACATCTGTCCTCTGTGGATCTGAATTCTGAGTGTTCCTCACAAAAAAAGAAAAAGAAAAGAAAGCGAGGTTGGAATATAGCGGACAGTTTACCCCCTCCTGCTGGCGACGTACGTGCGTGAAAAGTTATCGACGTCTCGCGGAGAACGGAGGAGCGCGCGGCGGCTCCTATGGACTGCATGTAGGTCACCGTATCTTGTGTACTTTTCTGGACAAACAACCTTTTTCTCTCTCCTAGAACATGTTTTCCTTCTGCATTCGGATCAAGCAGCGCACGGACTCCGCTGACATTTCCCCACGGAACCTCGCTGTCAGTAAAGCTTCTCATGTCGGAGCTTGACACACCGGGGGTTTAGCTATTTTATATATCTTTATTTGGACAGATGATCTAACCAAACCAGAGGAGCACATCTCAGTTGAAAATATACAGGTACAATAAAGTGTTTGTTCTTGGTGCAATGGAACAGCCTAAGTGCCAATGTGTTTGTTTTTCCGACCGTATTAGCTGAGGTAGGGGGAATAAACAGAGATTAAATGCTGTCTGCTAGATGCGTACGCTGTTTTTTTAAGTCTTATCGTATCGTATAAAAACCCTACGCAGGCTGTGTTGTTGCAATAACTAGAACAAATGCAATGTGTCTCCTCTATAGGCGTGTGATCTGTGCAGTGTCTTGTCACAGCCAACAGGTTGCACCAAAGCCGTGCAGCCTGCAAAAGTACAGTGATGGTAAAAGTACTGCAAAAGTGCGAAAAGTAGCAAATGCATACTCTCCCCTTTACTACTTCTGCGTGTAATGGAAAGGTATTCGCAACTGTCAGCGGTCAGCAAGCCACTGTCAATATATAGTCCATAGTCCAAGTCGAGTGGAAATCTACATGTATACTGTAGTCTGCGTGGGCGTGGAAAACACGGCTTGCGGAGATATGACCAAAACAGCGAAGGCAGAATGCAACAAGCGAAGCCTCATGTTCACTAATGTGCATGCAAAGTTCACGATTGTTGTCTTATTATTTATTATTGTCTGAATTTTGCTCACTCAGTCCCGTCAGTACAGTTTAATATTGCGTTTAAAACGATAAAAAAATATATAGGGCCAATGCAAACGTGTCGTCATGCATACAAAGTCGCTTGCGCCAACTGTACATTATGATACTCTCTGATCACGTCACGCCCCCCCTGTGAAACAAGGATAAAAGCACATAGGGCACACACAGGGTACCAGATAGACTATATCTCAATGAAGTGGTGTAATTGACAGCATATTGCAAAGATTATTAGATTACTATAATACACAGGGAGGATGTCAATGATCATTAGCTCTGAAGTAAATTGTCTGACGTGACAGCTGGCTTGACCTGCCCATCCAGATATAGCTATCAAGGTTAATAATCTACAGGGGAACTAAGCTGTGAACCGTTTTCCCCATGACCAAGTTGCAAATGTTATGTCATGTTTTTAGGAGTTCATTGTACACCCCCCATTTTTGAGCAGACAGAGATATGACAGCTGCAACTGCTCCAAGCCCAATCTCTTTAAACAGATGTGTTTGTATCGCGTCAATGAGTTCATCGACAGGACTGACACTGCTGCATTGCCTGTAACACCAGTTAAGCCCAGGCATGTCTTTCTCATATTGGCTCGGATCCAAGAAACGTTGCATGTGCCATAGACTGAAGTACATAGTTCAAAGCTGTGACTTGGATTTTATAATGATTATAGTTGCAGCAGCACTTTTTGTCCTTCTCTGCTGCTCCTGTGTTTGGTGAGATGTTTACGTATGGTTAAAGCTTTATAGATTGATAAAATGGGGCGACAGTAGCTCAGTTGGTAGAGCATTTGCCTTCGGGCCTGAAGGTTGTGGGTTCAATTCCCACCTCTACACCTTCTCCACCGACTCCCACTGATGACTGCTGTCGTTGTGTCCTTGGGCAAGACACTCAACCCCACTTTGCCCAAAGCCCCCACTGAAAGATCAAGGCTATGCTCACACTCAGAGAGCAGCCGTCCTCCTGTGGACTCACCACCTGCAGAGGGTCAGTGAGGGGCTGGTGCTATGAGACTTGGGTGGCATCTCTGACTGCCACCCCCCTGACCCAGAAATGGATTAAAGGGTAGAAAATGGATGGATGGATAGATTGATAAATAACACATTTAGTTTGTCCCAACAGGATTAGTCTTGTAAAAGTGTAAGGTTGTGAATAAATTGGACGACAGCATCCGGTCTTGATCTTATTAGAGAACATGTTATATTTTGTATGCTTGTACGAAGGATCCCTCTGAGTCACTATAGGACTCTCTGTGCTGAGAGCTGACTGGCTGAGTGAGCATGGTCCTATCTTTTTCACATTTTCTGTCTAAAACAGCGTACAAAGATGTTAGAACTGTTTTTGAGCCAGAAACTAGTTAGATTTAGAATTATAAGTTAGAATGAATTAATTTGATAGGGACAAGTGCACACAATCAGCCAAGGATAATTGCAATGTACGTCCCTAGAAGGGGAATTAATGCGCGCACTTTACATTGTTACATTCACATCGTACAAAGACAGGTCCCCCTCCAGTCATAGATTGTCACACTTCTGGCTTATTTTAAGTAATTGCTTCAGTTAGTGTTTAAAACCAGCCCAGTCCAAGTTCAGTTTAAGCTGAGGACTTAAAGGGATCCAGAAACAGATTGTCTGAATGTTGTTCTCTCGAGGGGCACATTTTACAATTCTATTTTTTTATGGTTTGGAAGTTAGGTACCCCATATTTAAGTGACACTTTCTGATTGTGTTCAAGATCAGTTCAGTTGGATTAGTTTTGTTTGGAAGTCTGGACTTGAGAATGTTGTCTGACACCTGTTACAGGTATATTGAAATCCTTATGCTGTTTTTGTTTTCCTCCCTTCTCTTTGTGCCCGGCTAGCATAAAGCAATGGATCAGGGCGGACTGAAGCGCAACGGTAATCGAGACGACAGCCTGACATTTCTGGAGCCTGAAGTTGGTGTGGGTAGAGAGTCAGTAGGGGACACAGCTGATTCACTGCTACATGCGAACATGCACCTGCCCAACAACAGCCCCGCACCACTGCAGATGGTCCAGTCCACCGTGGCTTCAAACGGACAGGTCGCTCCCAAAAGCCAAGGGAATATGAGAAATATTTTTGAGTCTCCGGACATTTGTTTCAACATGGGGGACAACCTTTCTGTGGTGAACCATGGCAGCTCCGGTCTGGACCGCTCCTCCACTAACATAATCAACACCTCAGATGTTTCTGTTCTGAGGGACCTGCCCATCCCGGACCTGTTTGGCTCCCACATCAAACAGGAGCAGGATTTTTCTCTGCCTAAGGACCTGGAAGACTTTAACACGCACCCTGGCTCATGTGATCTCGATAGCGATGTCAGGCTATTAGAGGACAGTGAGATTTGGCAAGATCTAGACTTGCCTGGAACTCTGCCTGAGATTAATCATTTTGAGTTGGATTCAGAGGTGGCACACTTGGATAACATACTCCAGGACAGCAGTGTGGGGGAGCCTTTGCAAGGGATGTTGAAGGAAGCCAAGAGCCTGGTCAGTAACGGAGGCCACTATTCTGCCATGAACGGGATTGACCCCTACCACGGCTCAATGCACCACCAGCCCTCCACTCTCCTCTCCTCTGTCATGATAAAGGAGGAGAAGGACGACGACTTCATCCACATTCAAACCCCTGGAGTGGTCAAACAGGAGAAGCAGGACAACGCTTCTTACTGTGCTAGCCAGTGTCTCCAGAGCAGTCCTCTACATGGAAACACCATGGCCTCTATTGGGTACCAGTACAGACCGGCCACGTCCCCCTCTGTGAACCTGCCCGACCAGAAGCCCTTTGCCATGTACCCCACACTGCCCCCGGTGGAGGAGGGCTGGGCACGTGGCAGGTATGGAGATGGGTCTGCAATGCAGAGGAGCACTAATGGACTCGCCTCCCCCTCCACGCTGGCTCCGTACCCGTTGAACTTCTCCAGGTAAGACTCGTGAATAGTCACACCTGTTTACTTTGGGGCGTCTGTTTTTCTGTGTGCTCAAAATGCAGCTTTGGGAAAAAAATGTAAGATAGTACACATATATTGTACAAATAATAGATAATTGGAATGGCTATATAATGATTAGCTAGTTTGATCTCAATTCATCATTTATTATGATAAAAGCCATAGTCTTAGCAGCTGTCGTGTTCAGCTTATGACTGCTTATTAGTCTACTTAGACACTTTGATAAGCATGCCAAATGCCAGCTAGGCATTTTCACTCATTCATGAGTGGTTTGTTTATGTACGTCACTTCATAATAAAACATATTGTGACTTTATTCTTTACTGTAGATTATACATTCGTTGTGGTGAGATTTTCAAAGCGAAGACGTCTATCTAAGAAAAGTTGTTGTGTTTCTGGGTTTGGTTCCACAACTCAACACACAATGAGCATCAGTAGACCCTCACTATAAGAAATAAAGTGTTGGATTCAATAGATACATTTTAGCAAACTTTTATGCATAATATTTAATTTAAACTGTTGCGATTGTCCTTGGCTGTCAGTAAAGGTTTTTAATTCGTTTATTGTCTATGTTAGTTTCAAGTGAGTGTTTTTTTTTAATGTGGCATGGTGCAATGTTTTAAGGAGAAAATTATTTGACGCATAGAAAAAGACTTCAATCCAATCCAATCCAATCCACTTTATTTATATAGCACATTTAAACAACAGTTACGTTTCCAAAGTGCTGCACAAAAAAGTATAAAATAAATAACAACTTATCCTTAGCTTCACCAAGTATAAAAGAATAAAAATATATAAAACAGATTAAAACCATAAATAGAAATAAAATAAAAACACAGAGGACCACACAACTCACACAGTGTTAAAAGCCAAAGAGTAAAAATGGGTCTTAAGACGAGACTTATAACACTCTACTTGATTCGAAGCCTGTGTATTTTGGGTCAAGGATGGATTTCTTAACGTGCTATACAATACGGAGTTAAGTATTGCAAATGTTCGGTGTTTGTTCTCCGTGCTGTTTACGGTAATAATGTGGTCCCAAAGGAGGCGATGCATTATGACGAAACATGCTGTAGGTCAACAGTGGGGCATATCATTTAAAGAGAGAAATTGTGAAAAAATGTGTTGTTTGCTGATGACTAAGCAGTTACACAAGGACTGTTAATGCTGAAGGTGATATATAATTTACTCCAGTTGAAAATGTAGACCGTTATTCCAGATTGTTTGTCACGATTCGGTGCATCTTGTTTCCTGTTTGTGAAAAGAAATTTGCTTCTTCAAATTACTGGTAGTTCTTGTGAGATCCTTGTTTGTGTTTGTTTAGTCTTTGATCTTTTGTTGTTTTAGTCATTATCAGCGACTAACCTAACACTGATGCAACATGTACAAACTCTTGCATCTGTTTTCTCTTGTTAACTGTTTTGTGTAGTTTCCAATTTAAGGTAATACACAGGTTATAAGCAAGTAAATTAAATAAAAAAGGTACGCACAGTTTGCCATTGGATTTCTCTAGCTCTTAAAACAATGTTATTTTCTTTTTTCATGATTTATTTCAATATCTAAACAACATTTGAATACAGTAACTAGTTGACTAATACATACTTTATTTAACAAGGATACAATTGACCTAACAATCAAAGACTCATTTAACAGCTCTGATTTTCATCTCCTGTTGTTTCGTTTGTAATTACTTCAGCACTTATTTTGATCAACCACTTAACCTGAGGCTAAATGTGTTTTTCCTTTCGGCAAGGGAAATAAAAGTGAAACGTTTGAATTGTCGTTGTTTCTATAAAAAAAAAGCAGCTATATTTTAATGTAAAAGTGTAAAAGAATATGACAAGAAAGAGTACGAGGAAAGTAAAAAGAATATGAATATTTAGATGTTGTCTGGAGCTGTGTGTGTTGGGAGCTCTCCACCCCCTCCCTCCTCCACTTGTGCCCTTCATATTTGAGCGTAAACTATGCAGACAGGAAGCACATGGTTTGGCAACAGCGCACAACCCTATAGAAGTATTTTGCATTTAGAAAGTGCTGTACATTTCTGAGTGAGACCATTACCTCGAGCTTCAGTTCAGAGCGGATCATTGAAGCTAGTTACAGCCTTAAGCGTGTTGTTGCACTTATGTCGGTTTGGATTCTGTTTCACTCTGAGATTTTTAGGAGGCCAAAGTCTTAACACTGTTATAAAGGTGCTACCACCCTCACAATAGCCATAATGTAGCTTAGTTATTGAGTTTCTTTTGTTTTCTTTCTATTTCAAGAAACGGTGTCAGTTTGCATTTAAAAGACAAGTACTTTGTAAGTAAAAAGTGTATGTTTTTCAGTATTTGTCCTTGTGGCTGTAACAGTGGACATCATGGTTCCTTTATCTTTGTTCATGGATGTGTCTAGAGTCCTCCAGGATCAATTGTTTTGTAGGTTTTCTGGTGCAAGGGTCAGTCAGCAGAGATAACCTTCCAAACAAATGATTCTATAGCTTCCTAGAAAACCCTGTGATGGAAAGTGAAAGCCCCATTCTGACTACTTTTGCAGCCACTGCAAGGTCAAATAGAAAATAGTCAATTTTTCACCTAATAATTTATAGAATACCCCCTTAAAGTGCATATGACTTATTAATATACATTCTTTTTTTAAAACCTTATTTTAGTGGAATGATGCCGGATAGCAATTTGAATTGTTGTTCTACACAAATGCAGTCACAGTTTGTGGAAAAAAGAGAGAATATGTTGACAGGAAGTAGAGCAGCGTTCTAGAACTGATGACATCACTGTAGAGATAGACAGAAATTTGACATTTGACAAATTCATGATTCACTAAAATAAATATACATCTAGTATTTAGTTAATAAATCAGGTGACTTGGTTGCTTCGAAACATCCCCAGCATGATATAATCTTTGACCTGGGCTGAGGTAAATGTTCAAATGTTGTTTCTTCATTCAAATTTGCATTAAAGAGACCACTATCTGGTTACAGTTGTTATTAGGAACAGATCATTTGGTTAAGGTTTGCGTTACAGGCAAGAATCTACTGGAATAAACATTTTTAAATGAAAGGCACAATCTTAAATGTCATGGTGTGAGCTGTGTTTTGTGTCTTTAAATCTTTAAATGGATCTGTGATTCTCGACACTCGCTATGTGTTCTAATCTTTTCAGTCAGGGTTCTGATTCTGCAGGATTATTCACATGTGTGAGAAAAATGTCAATTGAACATACTCTACTTACCAAAGAAATGCAAGCATTTCTAAACATGAAATACAGCCTGACAGCATGAGTAGATAATAATGATTTTATTCGTATCCAGTTTTGAGTTCGGACTCCAACTAGGAATGGGGATAGGATATAGTGTGTTTGATGTGATTCAAAAATAAAACAACAGGGTGGTTTTGTTCCAACTTTTTTCTTTCATAAACAGTTCATGTTTGCATTGTGTGAAATAACAACATTCTGTCTTCGTCTGTTAGAGAACATGTTATCTTTTGCTCACTTTAAGAGCCCGTAATCACTAAATTACAAGCTGATATATAGAGTGAAATAAAGATGGACTTTTATTTTTTGTGGCTAAAAAGTTTGATACATCAGCTTGAACATAGATCCTTCACCTCACCTGTTTGGGGTAGCCCTCCTATATAATAATAATAATAATACATTTTATTTAAAAGTGCCTTTCAAAACACCCAAGGACACTGTACAGACATAATAAAAACATTAAAAACAGAAGCAACAGAATAAAACAACAGTGCATTATGGGATGGTGGGTGTGTGTGTGTTAGGTGGGGTAGGACAGTCTGAACAGATGGGTTTTGAGTCTGGATTTAAAGAGTGGAAGAGAGTCAATGGTACGAAGGCCAGGGGGGAGAGAGTTCCAGAGCTGGGGGGCAAAGTGGCTGAAGGCTCTGTGTCCCACGGTGATGAGTCTGGCTGGGGGGACGGAGAGTGTGAAAGTGGAGGAGGAGCGGAGTGTGCGGACGGGAGTGGCAGGGTGGAGGAGATCCGATAGGTGCGGAGGGCCAGGTTGTGAAGTACTTTGAAAGTGGTGAGGAGTATTTTGAAGTTGATGCGTTGTTTGACAGGAAGCCAGTGGAGTTGTCGTAGTACGGGGGTGATGTGCTCAGCTGTAGGGGTCCGGGTGATGATACGAGCTGCAGAGTTTAGAAGGAGCTGTCGTTCAATGAGATGAAGTACACAGTTTTGGTTGAAATAGGGATCCCATTTACATATTAACGGCCTCTTTTTAGTTCAGAATTGCGCAATGTTTTTCTTGTAAATATTTGCAAAGTTTATGAGGGCAGAACAAACGATCACCAAAAAGAACATTCACACTTGAAAAGTATTTTAGTTTTTGTCGAGCACAAAATCTATGACTCCAGAAGATACTGTAACGTGGTATTGTTGGTTAGCTGTGATACTGTAGTAACATCCCATACTTTCCTTTACTTGAATAACAATTAGCTGTTTAGCTTACCAACATCCTGGTGATGAGAGTAAAAAACAAAAAAACATATTGCTTTTAACTGGCTACATGTATCTTTTTGAGTCTGAATACAAGATTTGTGAAAAAAATGAATAGTTATGTAAGAAACACACACATTCTCACTCAAAATTATACAAACAATGCTACCCTGCTTGAAAGAAGACTGCTTTCTGGCTGGCCAAGCTTGTTTTAACACAGTCCAAAAAGTACTCAAATCAAGATGAAAAACCTTTTTGTAGCCGTAAAGAAATATACAATTTTTCTCCCCAGATTTGTCATTTTGATGCCATTATTGTTAAGTAATTTCTCAAGGAATGATGGGATTCTTTAAAGTGTATGTTTCTTGCAGTTTATAATCCATGCAGTGGTTTTTTTGGATGGATAAATGGATGGATAAACTTTATTGATCCCGAAAGAAATTACAGTGGTGCCGGCTGCTCTCATTCACACAGTGACAGTTACATAATATTTGAGATATAGCTATAAATATTAATATGGCTTTACA